CTTGAGTCGATCTGTATTATAAATATTAAAGGTTCTGAAGTCTGAATCGTTTCTGTGTCACTGTGAACATTATATACTAACTGACGTATTCTGATGTTAAAAAAAAATGTTAGCAGTACAAGCTAACGATAGCTTTCACAAGCAGAGGCATCCGGCGAGTAACTGTAGCTAAGCTATGTTGGGGTCGCTGTACGGTGTGGGTCTGGTGTCGGTCCGTACGGTGTGGTCTGGTGTCTCTGTACGGTGTGGGTCTGTGGTCGGTCTCTGTACGGGTTGGTCTGGTGTCGGTCGCTGTACGTGTGGGTCTGGTGTCGGTCGCTGTACGGTGTGGGTCTGGTGTCGGTCTCTGTACGGTGTGGGTCTGTGGTCGTCTCTTGTCGGTGGAGGGTCGGTGTGCGGCTGCTTACCGGTGTGGGTCTGGTGTCGGTCTTGTACGGTGTGGGTCTGGGTCTGGTGTCGGTCTCTGTACGGTGTGGGTCTGGTCTCTGTACGGTGTGGGTCTGGTGTCGGTCCTGTACGTGTGGGGTCTGTGTTTGTTGCTGTACGGTGTGGTCTGTGTCGGGTGCTGTCGGTGTGTCGGTGTGGTCTTGTCGGCTCTCTACGTCTGGGTCGGTCTCTGTACGGTGTGGGTCTGGTGTCGGTTCTTACGGTGTGTCTGGGGGTCTCTGTACGGTGTGGGTCGGTGTCGGTCTGTACGGGTGTGGGGGTCTGGTGGTCGGTCGCTGTACGGTGTGGGCTGGTGTCGGTTGCTTCGTGGTGTTGGCTGATGGGTGATTTGTAAACGGCGAGCTAAGGCCTGCCCCCACTGCTAAAAAACATCCTAGAGGAAACACTGATGATGATGATGGTGAAGGTCTGATAAACCGTGTACTTCCTGTCCCTCAGGTCCATCTCTCCAGTCTCTCCGTGTTCTCCAACTTTCCCGTCTCGAAGAAGAAGATTGTTTATCGAGCGAGCTGCGTCGACTTCTCTCCGCACAGCGGCTTCTTCTCATTGGCTAACAACAAAGGACACGCCCCTCTCTTCAGGTGAGGCAGCCAATCAGCTCCACTGTGACTGACAGGTGTTTTATTTCTATGATCCAATATACAGGGGGACCGCTCTGACAGACGGACAGGAAACAGATTTCAGAATAAAGTTTCACTGAATATATTTAAATTGTTAATAATGATGATAATAATAATA